GTCCAGCTCTCTGCGGTCATTCACTAGGGTCCCCCTGTGGTTTTGGGATTGTTTGCTCCGTTTCTTTGGATCATTTTTTTACGCCAGGGTGGAGATCTTGCTGGACCCCCGACGAGGGAGATTATCAAATGGTCTTTTATTCTTCCATTTCTAATAATTGTCCCCAGTTGGGAGTTTCTTCAAACCAAGTCTTACCATTTCAGATTCGCTTCCCCGCCGGTGCAGGTCTACAATTTTGTTTTTGGTGTCCTTTGACGCCTTTGGTTTGGCCCTATGGGGTTTGGAGTTGACTGTTTGGGTTGGGGGTGCTTTTTTGATAACAGTTCAAAAGGGGGCCAAACAGGAAAGAGGGAGGACAGAGGAGCCCTAAAAAAAAGGGACGGCGGAGAGCCAGAAACGGGGGGGGACCAAAACATTTTCCACCATAATTTGAAAAAAAACATTAAAAACCCCACAAGGACGGAATTTTTTCCAATTTGGGGGGGGCAAGTTGACATGACCTATGGAAAAATTTCGGCCCCTCTTTTTTAAGGGGGGAACGCACAAGGGGCGATTATTTTTTCCCCCACTGTACTCCCCTTCACTCCATTCCAGCCATTGAAATATGGTATTGGGGAAATGACCGTTTAAAAGGGACACACGACAGGGGGGGGCCCAAAAACACGGGTTTCTGTATTAATTTTTTATTTTTATAAATTTTAGGGTTTTTGAGTTAGCAAAAAAGGGATTTCACTGTACTTGTGCATGTGACATTAAATTGAAAATTGAAGGCCCAAAAATTGTCAAAGACTCCAACCCCCAAGTATAGACTGTTCTCCCTTTCTACCCCCGCGTGGAAACCGGAGCACCAAGTCTGGGACCAAAAGGCTCCTGAACAGCTTCTACCCCCAAGCCATATGACAGCTGAACAGTTAATCAAATGGCTGGCTGGAATATTTGCATTGACCCCCTTTTGTTTTGCACTGACATTCTTTCACTGGCTCTATGCACACACTGGACTCTACCCAAACACTCACACATACAGTGGGGAAAAAAAGTATTTAGTCAGCCACCAATTGTGCAAGTTCTCCCACTTAAAAAGATGAGAGAGGCCTGTAATTTTCATCATCGGTACACGTCAACTATGACAGACAAAATGAGAAAAAGAAATCCAGAAAATCACATTGTAGGATTTTTAATGATTTTATTTGCAAATTATGGTGGAAAATAAGTATTTGGTCAATAACAAAAGTTTCTCAATACTTTGTTATATACCCTTTGTTGGCAATGACACAGGTCAAACGTTTTCTGTAAGTCTTCACAAGGTTTTCACACACTGTTGCTGGTATTTTGGCCCATTCCTCCATGCAGATCTCCTCTAGAGCAGTGATGTTTTGGGGCTGTCGCTGGGCAACACGGACTTTCAACTCCCTCCAAAGATTTTCTATGGGGTTGAGATCTGGAGACTGGCTAGGCCACTCCAGGACCTTGAAATGCTTCTTACGAAGCCACTCCTTCGTTGCCCGGGCGGTGTGTTTGGGATCATTGTCATGCTGAAAGACCCAGCCACGTTTCATCTTCAATGCCCTTGCTGATGGAAGGAGGTTTTCACTCAAAATCTCACGATACATGGCCCCATTCATTTTTTCCTTTACACGGATCAGTCGTCCTGGTCCCTTTGCAGAAAAACAGCCCCAAAGCATGATGTTTCCACCCCCATGCTTCACAGTAGGTATGGTGTTCTTTGGATGCAACTCAGCATTCTTTGTCCTCCAAACACGACGAGTTGAGTTTTTACCAAAAAGTTATATTTTGGTTTCATCTGACCATATGACATTCTCCCAATCCTCTTCTGGATCATCCAAATGCAAACTTCAGACGGGCCTGGACATGTACTGGCTTAAGCAGGGGGACACGTCTGGCACTGCAGGATTTGAGTCCCTGGCGGCGTAGTGTGTTACTGATGGTAGGCTTTGTTACTTTGGTCCCAGCTCTCTGCAGGTCATTCACTAGGTCCCCCCGTGTGGTTCTGGGACTTTTGCTCACCGTTCTTGTGATCATTTTGACCCCACGGGTGAGATCTTGCGTGGAGCCCCAGATCGAGGGAGATTATCAGTGGTCTTGTATGTCTTCCATTTCCTAATAATTGCTCCCACAGTTGATTTCTTCAAACCAAGCTGCTTACCTATTGCAGATTCAGTCTTCCCAGCCTGGTGCAGGTCTACAATTTTGTTTCTGGTGTCCTTTGACAGCTCTTTGGTCTTGGCCATAGTGGAGTTTGGAGTGTGACTGTTTGAGGTTGTGGACAGGTGTCTTTTATACTGATAACAAGTTCAAACAGGTGCCATTAATACAGGTAACGAGTGGAGGATAGAGGAGCCTCTTAAAGAAGAAGTTACAGGTCAGAATCTTGCTTGTTTGTACAATACTATTTTCCCCATAATTTCACTTAAAATCCTACATGTGTTTTCTGGAAAAACTCAAATTGCGCAAGTTGACTGTACTATGATGAAATTACAGGGCTCCCATCTTTTAAGTGGGAGAACTTGTACATGGTGGCTGACTAAATACTTTTTCCCCCCACTGTACTACACTGAAACTCCACACACCATACACACACAGCACTACCTACACGCTCACACACACACACACACACATGCATTGACGCACATTCACCCTTAGACACACCCATCACACTCTTCACATAGGCTGCTGCTACTTCTGTTTATTATCTATCCTGGAGTGCCTAGTCACTTTTAGCCTCTACCTACATGTAGCATATTACCCTCAACTACCTCGTAACCCCCTGCACATTTGACTCGGTAACCCGGTAACCCCTTGTATATAGCCTTGTTATTGTTATTTTGTGTTACTGTTTCCTTTTTTTTCTAATTTGCAATTATTCCATTTTTGTAAACTTTTTAACTGCATTGTTGGGAAAAAGTCTACACTTTTATTTGAGCCTTATGTCTGCTGCAAAGCACTCTGCATTACACTGTACATACAGTGGGTATCATAATTATTCACCCCCTTGGATTTTGTTGCGTTACAAAGTGGGATTGAAATGTATTCAATTGTGATTTTTTTTTGCCATTGATCTACACAAAATACTCTGTCAAAGTGAAAATTAAATTCTAGAAATATTTACAAATTTAAAAAAATTAAATAACTAAAATATAGTTGTTGCGTAAGTATTCACCCCCTTTGTTTAGGTATGCCTAAATTAGTTCAGGAGTAAAATTTGGCTCAACAAATCACATAAGTTACATGGAGTCACTCTGTGTAAAATAATGGGGATTTACATGATTTTTTTAATGACTTCCCCTTCCTCGGTCCTCCATACATACAACATCTGTAAGGTCCCTCAGTCAAGTATTGAATTTCAAGCACAGATTCAACTACAAAGACCAAAAGCCTCACAAAGAAGGGCAGTGATTGGTAGATGGGTAACAATAAAAAATAAAACATTGAATATCTCTTTAAGCATGGTCAAGTTAATAATAATATTGTCCTCCTTTTGAACTGAGCTGCAGGACAGGAAGGAAACTGCTCAGCGATTTCACCACTAGGCCATTGGTGATTTTAAAACAACTACAGAGTTGAATGGCTATGATGGGAGAAAATGAAGGATGGATCAACAACATTGTAGTTACTCTGCAATATTGACCTAAATGACAGTGAGAGTGAAAAGAAGAATGCAAATATACACAATAAACATATTCCAAAACATGCATCTTGTATGGAACAAGGCACAAAAATTATACCGCAAGAAGACATGGCAAAGGCATAAATGTTTTGGCCTAAATGCAAAGCCTTATGTTTGGGGCGATTCCAACACAACACATCACTGAGTAACTGCCTCTTTATTTTCAAGTATGGTGGTGGATGCATCATGGTATGGGTAGGCTTTCCATCGGCAAAGACTGGGGAATATTTCAGGATAAAAAGAAACGGGATGCAGCTAAGCACAGGCAAAATCTTAGAGGAAAACCTGCTTTAGTCTGCTTTACACCAGACACTGGAAGATGAATTCACTTTTCAGCAGGACAATAACCTACAACACAAGGCCAAAGATACACTGGAGTTGCTTACCAAGAACACAGTGAATATTTCTGAGTGGCCAAGTTACAGTTTTGACTTAAATCTGCCTGAAAATCTATGGCAAGACTTTAAAAATGTTGTCTAGCCATGACCCCCAACATCTTGACAGATGTACAAATATTGCACAGTCCAGGTGTGCAAAGCTCTTAGAGACTAACCAAGAAGACTCACAGCTGTAATCTCTGTCCAAAGGTCCTAACATGTATTGACCCAGGGGGGTGAATACTTATCTAATATACACTGAGTGTATAAAACATTAAGAACACCTGCTCTTTCCATGACATAGACTGATCAGGTGAATCCAGGTGAAAGCAATGATACCTTATTGATGTCTCTTGTTAAATCCACTTCTATCAGTGTAGATGAAGGGGAGGAGACGGGTTTAAAGAAGGTTTTTTAAGTCTTGAGACAATTGAGACATGGATTGTGTATGTGTGCCATTCAGAGAGTGAATGGGCAAGACAAAAGATTGAAGTGCCTTTTAACGGGGTATGGTAGTAGGTGCCAGGAGCACCGGTTTGTGTCAAGAACTGCAATGCTGCTGGGTTTTACACTGGGGGGGGTTTCAACTCAATATTAGGAAGGTGTTCCTAATGTTTGGTATACTCAATGTAGTATATACTGTATTATATATATATAATATATTAGTGTTTCATTTTACATAAATTTTTCCAACTTTGACATTTAGAGTCTTTTGTGTAGATCGTTGACAAAAATGACAATTAAATAAATACTAATCACACTTTGTAACACAATAAAATGTGAAGAAGTCCTTATGATACCCACTGTACATACACTTCAAAATACACTTCACAATACAATAGCTTTCATTCTTCATTCACTAGAATGCTATGTTTTCTGGGAACCCTAAGTATAAGCCATCTGAAAAAAATATTGATTTTAGTTTTTTTTATCTCTAGCGACAGATTCGGAGCATGCCCAGTCCACACCCAGACTTCAGTCCTCCAGACGTATCCCAGTGTCCCCTGCAACGTGGGGAGGCAGCCGTGGCAGAGCAGAGACAGTCAGGAACAGAGGAGCCCACACAAGTAAGAAATACTTCTGTTTTATATACACTAGGTTACATGATGATATAAATGTAAAATATAGTATTTTAATTAGGGCTGTCAGAGTTAATCAGTTAACTTGAGTAACCTTTTGGTAATATTAGTACACAAATTTTTTTTATTGCATTAATCGCATTGTCTGAAAGCGTTCAAAATACACTGAAAACATCCAAATAAATCATCTATACAGCTTAAAATAACAATGCCATGTGAAACCGTGTTGACTTTAAGGTTAAAGAAAGTGTGCTTTATCAATTTACCTGTTTTCCTTACCGTTACTTTGGAAAAAATCAAGACGTCAATATTCTTGTAATGCTTTTTGAATACAAAATATTGAATTACAGCTCAATTTCAGCCATTTCTGATTTTGCGATTAATCGTGAATAATCACAGCAAATCCTCAGATGAACTGGATGAAGTGTTTTCATCGTTAGACAGTCTATATTGTATTGTGATTGCAGGGCAGCATGTCAGTATGTCTGTAGGTGGAGATGGAGGAGAGAAACCTGACTGTAGAGGGAGGCAGGACCCTGTGTGTCCACAATGTTCCCCACAGACACACACCCATGGACACTCTACACGTAATAACTTCTCTCTCAGGCTATGTCCCAAATGGCATCCTATTCACAATAGTGTACTGTCGTGGTCAAAAGTTTTGAGAATCATTTTTACATTTTACATTTTAGTCATTTAGCAGACGCTCTTATCCAGAGCGACTTACAGTTAGTGAATACATATTTTTTTATACTGGCCCCCCGTGGGAATCGAAACCCACAACCCTGGCGTTGCAAACGCCATGCTCTATCAACTGAGCTACATCCCTGCCGGCCAAACCCTCCCCTACCCTGGACGACGCTGGGCCAATTGCGCGCCGCCCCATGGGTCTCCCGGTCGCGGCCGGCTGCGACAGAGCCTGGATTCGAATGGATCTCTAGTGGCACAGTTAGCACTGCGATGCAGTGCCTTAGACCACTGCGCCACTCGGGAGAATGATACAAATACTAATTTTCACAAAGTCTGCTGCCTCAGTTTTGATGATGGCAATTTACTCCAGAATGTCATGAAGAGTGATCAGATGAATTGCAATTAATTGCAAAGTCCCTCTTTGCCATGAAAATGAACTTAATCCCCCCAAAAAAACATTTCCACTGCATTTCAGCCCTGCCACAAAAGGACCAGCTGCCATCATGTCAGTGATTCTCTCGTTAACACAGGTGAGAGTGTTGACGAGGACAAGGCTGGAGATCACTGTCATGCTGATTGAGATTAGAATAACAGACTGGAAGCTTTAAAAGGAGGGTGCTGCTTGAAATCATTGTTCTTCCTCTGTTAACCATGGTTACCTGCAAGGAAACACGTGCCGTCATCATTGCTTTGCACAAAAAGGGCTTCACAACCATTTATCGGATCATCAAGAACTTCAAGGAGAGAGGTTCAATTGTTGTGAAGAAGGCGTCAGGGCGCCCAAGAAAGTCCAGCAAGCGCCAGGACCGTCTCCTAAAGTTGATTCAGACCGTCTCCTAAAGTTGATTCAGGGCACCACCAGTGCAGAGCTTGCTCAGGAATGGCAACAGGCAGGTGTGAGTGCATGTGCACGCACAGTGAGGCAAAGACTTTTGGAGGATGGCCTGGTGTCAAGAAGGGCAGCAAAGAAGCCACAAACATCAGGGACAGACTGATATTCTGCAAAAGGTACAGGGATTGGACTGCTGAGGTCTGGGGTAAAGTCATTTTCTCTGATGAATCCCCTTTCCGATTGTTTGGGGCATCCGGAAAAGACCTTGTCCGGAGAAGACAAGGTGAGCGCTACCATCAGTCCAGTGTCATGCCAACAGTAAAGCATCCTGAGACCATTCATGTGTGGGGTTGCTTTCTCACCTCACTCACAATTTTGCCTAAGAACACAGTCATGAATAAAGAATGGTACCAACACATCCTCCGAGAGCAACTTCTCCCAACCATCCAAGAATAGTTTGGTGACGACCAATGCCTTTTCCAGCATGATGGAGCACCTTGCCATAAGGCAAAAGTGATAACTAAGTGGCTCGGGGAACAAAACATCAAAATGTTGGGTCCATGGCCAGGAAACTCCCCAGACCTTAATCCCATTGAGAACTTGTGGTCGATCCTCAAGAGGCGGGTGGACAAACAAAAACCCACAAATTCTGACAAACTCCAAGCATTGATTATGCAAGAATGGGCTTCCGTCAGTCAGGATGTGGCCCAGAAGTTAATTGACAGCATGCCAGGGCGGATTGCAGAGGTCTTGAAAAAGAAGGGTCAACACTGGAATTATTGACTCTTTGTATAAACTGAATGCAATTGTCAATAAAAGCCTTTGACACTTATGGAATGCTTGTAATTATACTTCAGTATACCATAGTAACATTTGACAAAAATATCTCATAACACTGAAGCAGCGAACTTTGTGAAGACCAATACTTGTGTCATTCTAAAAACTTTGGGCCGCGACTGTACTACGCATAGGGGTCTGGTCAAAAATAGTACACTACATAGGGAATAGGATGCCATTTGGGACACATCCTCAGTCTGTGGTGTAATGGTGGTTTGTGTGTCACATTTACAGTCAATCCTGTGCCGTCTCCACTCCTTTCTCCTCTTTCTTTATTCTTCTCTTTTCTTCTGACTGACAGGACCAGAGGGGGGTGGTGGTGACACTGGGGCTATCCACAGTCACACTGGTCTTCATTCTCTTCACTGTCCTATGTGTGGAAGGTCTGAGACGTACCGGAGCACAAGCACGAAACATGGTAAGCAACAGACATGTCCTAGTTATCATCTAAGCTGTAGACCACACTAATTACCAAGAGTGTTTTCATCTATATTTTTCATAGCTGTCTATTTACCACCACAAACCAATGCTGGCATTAAGATTGCACTCAATATATATATAAGGCCATAACTAAACAGGAAAACGCTCATCCAGAGGCTGCGCTCCTAGTGGCCGGGGACTTTAATGCAGGGAAACTTAAATCCATTCTACCTAATTTCTACCAGCATGTTAAATGTGCAACCAGAGGAAAAAAAAACTCTAGACCTTTACTCCACACACAGAGATTCATACAAAGCTCTCTCTCACCCTCCATTTGGCAAATCTGACCATAACTCTATCCTCCTGATTCCTGCTTATAAGCAAAAACTAAAGTAGGAAGCACCAGTGACTCGGTTAATAAAAAAGTGGTCAGATGACGCAGATGCTAAGCTACAGGACTGTTTTGCTAGCACAGACTGGAAAATGTTCCGGGATTCTTCAGATAGCATTGAGGAGTACACCACATCAGTCACTGGCTTCATCAATAAGTGCATCGATGACGTCGTCCCCACAGTGACCGTACGTACATACCCCAACCAGAAGCCATGGATTACAGGCAACATCCGCATTGAGCTAAAGGGTAGAGCTGCCGCTTTCAAGGAGCGGGACTCTAACCCGGACGCTTATAAGAAATCCCGCTATGCCCTCCGACGAACCATCAAACAGGCAAAGAGTCAATACAGGACTAAGATTGAATCGTACTACACCGGCTCTGACGCTCGTCTGATGTGGCAGGGCTTGAAAACTATTACAGACTACAAAGGGAAGCACAGCCACGAGCTGCCCAGTGACACAAGCCTACCAGACGAGCTAAACCACTTCTATGCTCGCTTCGAGGCAAGCAACACTGAAGCATGCATGAGAGCACCAGCTGTTCCTGATGACTATGTGATCACGCTCTCCGTAGCCGATGTGAGTAAGACTTTTAAGCAGGTCAACATTTACAAGGCCGCAGGGCCAGACGGATTACCAGGACGTGTACTCCGAGCATGTGCTGACCAACTGGCAGGTGTCTTCACCGACATTTTCAACATGTCCCTGACTGATTCTGTAATACCAACATGTTTCAAGCAGACCACCATAGTCCCCGTGCCCAAGGACACTAAGATAACCTGCCTAAATGACTACCGACCCGTAGCACTGACGTCTGTAGCCATGAAGTGCTTTGAAAGGCTGGTCATGGCTCACATCAACACCATTATCCCAGAAACCCTAGACCCACTCCAATTCGCATACCGCCCCAACAGATCCACAGATGATGCAATCTCTATTGCACTCCACACTGCCCTTTCCCACCTGGACAAGAGGAACACCTACGTGAGAATGCTATTCATTGACTACAGCTCAGCGTTCAACACCATAGTGCCCTCAAAGCTCATCACTAAGCTAAGGATCCTGGGACTAAACACCTCCCTCTGCAACTGGATCCTGGACTTCCTGACGGGCCGCCTCCAGGTGGTAAGGGTAGGTAACAACACATCTGCCACGCTGATCCTCAACACTGTGTGCTCAGTCCCCTCCTGTACTCCCTGTTCACCCACGACTGCATGGCCAGGCACGACTCCAACATCATCATTAAGTTTGCCGACGACACAACAGTGGTAGGCCTGATCACTGATAACGATGAGACAGCCTGTAGGGAGGAGGTCAGAGACCTGGCCGTGGGGCGGCAGGTAGCTTAGTGGTTAAGAGCGTTGTGCCAGTACCCGAAAGGTCGCTGGTTCTATCCCCGAGCCGACTAGGTGAAAAATCTGTCGATGTGCCCTTGAGCAAGACACTTAACCCTAATTGCTCCTGTAAGTCGCTCTGGATAAGAGCGTCTGCTAAATGAATAAAATGTAAATGTAAAATAACAACCTCTCCCTCAACGTGACCAAGACAAAGGAGATGATTGTGGACTACAGGGAAAAAAAAGAGGACTGAGCACGCCCCCATTCTCATCAACAGGGCTGTAGTGGAACAGGTTGAGAGCTTCAAGTTCCTTGGTGTCCACATCACCAACGAACTATCATGGTCCAAACATACCAAGACAGTCGTGAAGAGGGCACGACAAAGCCTATTACCCCTCAGGAGACTGAAAAGATTTGGCATGGATCCTCAGATCCTCAAAAAGTTCTACAGCTGCACCATCGAGAGCATCCTGACTGGTTGCATCACCGCCTGGTATGGCAACTGCTCGGCCTCCAACCGCAAGGCACTACAGAGGGTAGTGCGTACAGCCCAGTACATCACTGGGGCCAAGCTTCCTGCCATCCAGGACCTTTATACCAGGCAGAGGAAGGCCTTCAAAATTGTCAAAGACTCCAGCCTCCCTAGTCATAGACTGTTCTCTCTGCTACCGCACAGCAAGCGGTACCGGAGCGCCAAGTCTAGGTCCAAAAGGCTTCTCAACAGCTTCTACCCCCAAGCCATAAGACTCCTGAACAGCTAATCATGGCTACCTGGACTATTTGCACCCCCACCCCATCTTTTTACGCTGCTGCTACTCTGTTAATTATTAAATAAGTATTTGGTCACCTACAAACAAGCAAGATTTCTGGCTCTCACAGACCTGTAACTTCTTCTTTAAGAGGCTCCTCTGTCCTCCACTCGTTACCTGTATTAATGGCACCTGTTTGAACTTGTTATCAGTATAAAAGACACCTGTCCACAACCTCAAACAGTCACACTCCAAACTCCACTATGGCCAAGACCAAAGAGCTGTCAAAGGACACCAGAAACAAAATTGTAGACCTGCACCAGGCTGGGAAGACTGAATCTGCAATAGGTAAGCAGCTTGGTTTGAAGAAATCAACTGTGGGAGCAATTATTAGGAAATGGAAGACATACAAGACCACTGATAATCTCCCTCGATCTGGGGCTCCACGCAAGATCTCACCCCGTGGGGTCAAAATGATCACAAGAACGGTGAGCAAAAATCCCAGGACCACACGGGGCGACCTAGTGAATGACCTGCAGAGAGCTGGGACCAAAGTAACAAAGCCTACCATCAGTAACCCACTATGCCGCCAGGGACTCAAATCCTGCAGTGCCAGACGTGTCCCCCTGCTTAAGCCAGTACATGTCCAGGCCCGTCTGAAGTTTGCTAGAGTGCATTTGGATGATCCAGAAGAGGATTGGGAGAATGTCATATGGTCAGATGAAACCAAAATATAACTTTTTGTTAAAAACTCAACTCGTTGTGTTTGGAGGACAAAGAATGCTGAGTTGCATCCAAAGAACACCATACCTACTGTGAAGCATGGGGGTGGAAACATCATGCTTTGGGGCTGTTTTTCTGCAAAGGGACCAGGACGACTGATCCGTGTAAAGGAAAGAATGAATGGGGCCATGTATCGTGAGATTTTGAGTGAAAACCTCCTTCCATCAGCAAGGGCATTGAAGATGAAACGTGGCTGGGTCTTTCAGCATGACAATGATCCCAAACACACCGCCCGGGCAACGAAGGAGTGGCTTCGTAAGAAGCATTTCAAGGTCCTGGAGTGGCCTAGCCAGTCTCCAGATCTCAACCCCATAGAAAATCTTTGGAGGGAGTTGAAAGTCCGTGTTGCCCAGCGACAGCCCCAAAACATCACTGCTCTAGAGGAGATCTGCATGGAGGAATGGGCCAAAATACCAGCAACAGTGTGTGAAAACCTTGTGAAGACTTACAGAAAACGTTTGACCTGTGTCATTGCCAACAAAGGGTATATAACAAAGAATTGAGAAACTTTTGTTATTGACCAAATACTTATTTTCCACCATAATTTGCAAATAAATTCATAAAAAATCAATGTGATTTTCTGGTATTTTTTTTCTCGTTTTGTCTGTCATAGTTGACATGTACCTATGATGAAAATTACAGGCCTCACTCATCTTTTTAAGTGGGAGAACTTCCACAATTGGTGGCTGACTAAATACTTTTTTTCCCCACTGTACATATTACCTCAACTACCTCAACTAGCCGGTTCCCCCGCACATTGACTCTGCACCGGTACCCCACTGTATATGGCCTCCCTACTGTTATTTTATTTTACTTCTGCTCTTTTTTTCTCAACACTTTTTTGTTGTTGTTGTTTTATTTTACTTTTTTATTAAGAAATACATGCATTGTTGGTTAAGGGCTGTAAGTAAGCATTTCACGGTAATGTCTACTACACCTGATGTATTCGGCGCATGTGGCAACTACTCCCATTTACTTCCTGTTTTATGTTGTGCTCAATTGCTTTGCCATTTTAATTGACAACAAGCCTGTGCTGATTTCTTATTTGCAGACCGGAGGACAGAGAGAGACTCAGGTCCCGCCCACAGAGGCAGCCGGCCAATGAGCTCCCCCCACAGAGATGTGAGAGGCGTGTTATTTGCAGCGCCGCCCCCTCCTGTGCTGGGCAGTGTGCCACTGGTCCAGTTTGTGCCAGTGTGCCCGCCAGTTCTGTGAGTACTGTGCTCTCGCTCTCTCTGGACATGAAGAAGTGGCCATTAGGTCATTTCGCTACAACCTCATCTGTTGCCAACCCTAATAAAATCTCTCAGCGCTGAGACACACACTCACCACTTAAAGAAAAATTCCACCCAAAAACTATCTTTTGGTATTTGTTTCATTAGTCCATTGTTGATATAGTCCCAAAATGTTTTGCATGTCAGCAATCAAGTTTTCAAGATATGTAACTTTCAAAATACAGAAATACAGCCGGTATGATATGATGCAAAACACAGCACACATGGTGCAGGAGTTCTTCTTTTGGCCAAAATCCTGACTTGAAGATATAGGTGGTTACATTTTGCATAAATCATCTAATTATTTTATTAGTGTTAATATTTGAATCACACATAAGTATCTGTCAGAATTTTAGCATTGTTTAAAATCCCACTTTCTTCCCCTATGTATTAAAGGTGCAATATGCAGAAATCGCTCCACCATTTCCTGGCTGCTAAAATTCTGATAGTTCGCCTAATTTCAGTTTATGTACAGTTGAAGTCGGAAGTTTACATACACCTTAGCCGAATACATTTAAACTCAGTTTTTCACAATTTCGGACATTTAATCCTAGTACAAATTCGCTGTCTAAGGTCAGTTAGGATCACCACTTTATTTTAAGAATGTGAAATGTCAGAATAATAGTAGAGAGAATGATTTATTTCAGCTTTTATTTATTTAATCACATTCCCAGTGGGTCAGAAGTTTACATACACCCAATTAGTATTAGGTAGCATTGCCTTTAAATTGTTTAACTTGGGTCAAACGTTTCGGGTAGCCTTCCACAAGCTTCCCACAATAAGTTGGGTGAATTTTGGCCCATTCCTCCTGACAGAGCTGGTGTAACTGAGTCAGGTTTGTAGGCCTCCTTGCTCAGGTCAGGGCTTTGTGATGGCCAATCCAATACCTTGACATTGTTGTCCTTAAGCCATTTTGCCACAACTTTGGAAGTATGCTTGGGGTCATTGTCCATTTGGAAGACCCATTTGCAACCAAACTTTCACTTCCTGACTGATGTCTTGAGATGTTGCTTCAATATATCCACATAATTTTCCATCCTCATGATGCCATCTATTTTGTGAAGTGCACCAGTCCCTCCTGCAGCAAAGCACCCCCACAGCATGATGTTGCCACCCCCGTGCTTCACGGTTGGGGGTGTTCTTCGGCTTGCAAGCATTCCCCTTTTTCCTCCAAACATAACGATGGTCATTATGGCCAAACAGTTCTATTTTTGTTTTATCAGACCAGATTAAATTTTTCCAAAAAGTACGATCTTTGTCCCCATGTGCAGTTGCAAACTGTAGTCTGGCTTTTTTATGGCGGTTTTGGAGCAGTGGCTTCTTCCTTGCTGAGCGGCCTTTCAGGTTATGTCGATATAGGACTCGTTTTACTGTGGATATAGATACTTTTGTACCTGTTTCCTCCAGCATCTTCACATGGTTCTTTACTGTTGTTCTGGGATTGATTTGCACTTTTCGCACCAAAGTACGTTAATCTCTAGGAGACAGAACGCGTCTCCTTCCTGAGTGGTATGACGGCTGCGTGGTCCCATGGTATTTATACTTGCGTACTATTGTTTGTACAGATGAACGTGGTACCTTCAGGCATTTGGAAATTGCTCCCAAGGATGAACCAGACATTTCTGAGGTCTTGGCTGATTTCTTTTGATTTTCCCATGATGTCAAGTTTGAAAGTAGGCCTTGAAATACATCCACAGGTACACCTCCAATTGACTCAAATTATGTCAATTAGCCTATCAGAAGCTTCTAAAGCCATGACGTCATTTTCTGGAATTTTCCAAGCTGTTTAAAGGCACAGTCAACTTAGTGTATGTAAACTTCTGACCCACTGGAATTGTGAATTATAAGTGAAATAATCTGTCTGTAAACAATTGTTGGAAAAATTACTTGTGTCGTTCACAAAGAAGATGTCCTAACCGTCTTGCCAAAACTATAGTTTGTTAACAAGAAATTTGTGGAGTGGTTGAAAAACAAGTTTTAATGACTCCAACCTAAGTGTATGTAAACTTCCGACTTCAACTGTATAGTGTAGAGAATCATTGTACCATCTAAACAGCTGTGAAATATATTTTCAATAACCCAAAATATTGTATCTTCAGCTGTTTGAAGCTGGTGTACAAAACTGAAAATAAAAGACACAAAAACAAAACTTAAGAACTGGAAGCATAGAAATAGCGCACATAGAACATATCTACTGCATCTTAGACTTGCTTTTAATGAGAATGAAAGACCTATAATGCACATTTCTATGTGAATTTGGTCAGGTCGCCCAAAAAGTGACATATTGCAGCTGACTAGTAAGTGTAGTTAGAAGGGCTGTTGTTGTTATATTTACCTGGCCTGTTCCCTGCAGGTACTACTCCAGCCCTGTGATAAATGTAGCTCCATCCCACCCACAGCCCATCTACGTGTCTCTGGGTGGGGGTGTGGCCACTGGGGTTAGGGGTCATCATGAGCAGGTCAGAGGTGGAGCTGGCCGTTCCCTGTCTGCTGACCAGCGCTCTCTGAGCAGCTCTCTGAACCATGCCATCGAGGCGGCCAGGGGGATGAGGGAGTCTTCCCGACGCATGGCCCGCTCCATCGCAACCGGACTGCACCACCAGGAGGCGCTGTCACAGTCCTGCATGTACTGATGGACCAGACCAGACACACACACCAGGGTTGGATTCATTAGTGTACACTGTAGCAAAATGTTTTGCAATTTAAAAGGAAAACAAGAGTTTCTTATTGGAGAAGTTCAGGTACTGGTAGTCCCGCCCCATTTCGATCTGTTTTCTTTTATTTGGTGTCTAGTGAATAAGACCCTGGCAAGTCTTTGGACCAACCACTCTGTACTGACACGGAGGTCTCTAAATGTGAAGATATTGTACTGTGCACTTAATATTTAGTTTATTTAGTATAACAGTTTGGTATTTGGGGTAACATGAAGCAAGTGCCTGGGTATGGATACTAGGGCCTCAAGCCAGTCATTCAGCTGCAGGCTTCTTGATAGCAGGGAGTGAGGAATGACAGACCCTTAACATCAGTATTTGATCATCACCCAGTGGCTCAGCACTGATAGTAAACCAGGGTCTACAAACTGTACTTTATACAGGTTACTACAGGTTACAGTTTACTTTATACAGTACATGTTATAGCTTTAGATGAAAGGTGGAGTGGCTATATTGCAATCTCAGGTATCATATAGAAACAACAGTTGTGGGATCTGGCAGCTTAAGTGTAGCAGAGGTGGACCACACTGAATCCACAAGTTCATCTCTTACTCATAAAATGCACTAGAATCTGCATATTAATGATTTACGTTTCGAAATAACGGACATATGCACATGTTTGTTTAGTTTGCTATGAAACCTGGAATTAGTTTTGGACATTAGTTTTGTTACATTTGTACAATGGATGTGAGACAATTGCTGCTATGGATCTTCAGACGAAGAGAGGACATATTCACACATTGATGTGTTTAGTTTTTTAACCCTAAGTTATTGATTCTAAATCAGGGTTCCCCAACCGGCGGGCCGGTTTCATTTGCCCCGCCCTTCCATGCATAATAGAGAGACACGTGATCCTATACAAATGTAAGCAAGGTTTGAAATGATTATGTTTTAGTCAAACATATCTGTTTCAATTTGCAGTTTACAAATTATTTGGAATTATGTTCCTGCACCCCGACCATTCGCTCAACAAAAAATCGGCCCGCAGCTGAATCTAGTTGATGATCCCTGTTCAAAATGGTTTGTTTAGGTTTTATTCTTAATCATTTGTGTAATAATTAGTTAATAAGGTTAGTAATTGGTCGTGCTGTAGTTGTACCCGCCAGGAAAATATTTTATCAGAAAAATAAGCTAATTTTGATAGATGGTCTTAATAGAGTTTGTGTTGAACACAAAAATATGACTTTTTAGAAATACAAATTTCTAGGATTTCAGAAATGCAGGTTTAAAAAAATCTAGATCCTGATATCTTTTGTACTATGATTGATTATCAAATGATTTTTTAAACAAATATTTTGCAGCAAAATATTTTTATTTCCGCTTTGAAGCCAAATAAATGTTGATGTTGAAACAACTAATAGTTGTTACTAAGTAAGGCTGACTAAAAGTTGTTATTAAGTAAGGCTGATGTCGGTTATAACCAGATTGTTACTCTTGGCCATGAACTGCAGGTATGGATAAGTCACTTGGAGGTCACACTGTTAGAGGCCTGTCGAGTTGTTACAACACAGAGTTTCTCTGCACAAAAATAATAACAAAAGCGTTGTGGAGACACTACACAATGGTTGTATACATTTGTATCACAGCCATTGTGTAAAATGTGTTGTAGATCAGTCGTACAACCTGGGTGTGTATGGGGCCAGAGATCTTCTTCAGGGTCTTACTGCACAATGTGAACTGTGAGCCTGAAAATGAGAGGGTTAACTCACTGATACACTACAGTAAAGAATGGCATAATTGCAACACCTTTGAGTACCTTACAATGTAGCTAAGAATGTGCAGAGTCTTTCTCCTTGTAATGGAAGCCAATTTATTAGACAGCCTTGGTACATTGGTACATTGGTACACATGATGTATACTTTTGTTTGTGCTTCAACACTCGCAAACATAGAATCCCAATGAGTTAAACAGGTTTAGGAAAGACTTAAGTTTCATTTATTAAGATTTTTTCTCTCTGATAAATAACTTTTGATATACATTAATTGAATAGACAGAGACCCTATACAACAGCAACTGATAATAGGAAACAATTCAAATTAAATTAAGCGTTTGCATCACAGATAACGCATAATGCAATATACAACCTGTTTGGCCAGGAAAGAGAAAGGAAAAAATTAGAAATAAAACGTTGAAATATTGGTGTTACATTTTCTTTGCAAAGCCATTCGCCATTGGAAGAGTTAACATTGCACCAGAAGAGAGAAACTAATGGACAGATAAACAAAATATAGATATTAGTTATTTTCCCAGTTGACCACTACAGCTACAGCTAAAACAAACACATGGCTTCACGTTCGCATTTTCTAAAGGAAATCTTTTACTACTTCACAGTCAGAAACATCACCAGTCAACAGTGAGACACTAAACATCAACATATGGTATATACACAACACACTACTCAGTGCATGACCCGGTTAAACATTTTGTTACCCGCCAATGATAAGACTTACACTGAGTGTACAAAGCATTAGGAACACCGGCTCTTTTCCATGACATAGACTGACCAGGTGAATCCAGGTGAAAGCTATGATCCCTTATTGATGTCACCTGTTAAATCCACTTCAATCAGTGTAGATGAAGGGAAGGAGACAGGTTAAAGACGGATTTTTAATGCTTGAGACAATTGAGACATGGATTGTGTATGTCTGCCATTCAGAGGGTGAATGGGCAAGACAGAAGATTTAAGTGCCTTTGAACGGGGTATGGTAGTAGGTGCCAGGCGCACCGGTTTGAGTGTGTCAAGAACTGCAAGGCTTCAGGGTTTTTTACACTCAACAGTTTCCCGTGTGTATCAAGAATGGTCCACCACCCAAAAGGACATCCAGCCAAATTGACACAACTGTGGGAAGCATTGGAGTCAACATGGGCCAGCATCCCTGTGGAACGCTTTCGACAATGACTCTGTACCGGTACCCCCTGTGTATAGCCTCCCAACTGTTATTTTATTTTACTGCTGCTCTTTAATTATTAGCATTTTTTATTTTTATTTTTACTTAACACTTTTTTCCCCCTGCATTGTTGGTTAAGGGCTTGTAAGTAAGCATTTCACTGTAAGGTCTAAACCTGTTGTATTCGGCGCATGTGGCAAATAAAATTCGATTTGATTTGTATAGTCCATGCCCTGACGAATTGAGGCTGTTCTGAGGGCAAAAGGGGGTGCAACTAAATATTAGGAAGGCATTCCTAATGTTTTGTGCACTCAGTGTATAATGTGACAGGATACAATATTGAAATACAAGTGGCCCTTTATGATTATTCTGTAAACATCTGCAAGCAATGGCCTTTTTGACACTAAAACGTGAAATCTCTCCAGAGAAAAGGGAAAAGGATGTGGCGACTAAATACGTCCAGTCTTATGGCTGGAGGAGGGATGCTTCTACCATTCTGTAGCTATTTACACAGCCCTGTTTCGCTCTATCCTCAGACCTTGGGTCAGTCTAGCTGTTTGTCACTGTCTTACTCACAGACATCACTGTGATTGAATTATTTCTCGGTTTGCTTGGTCTCGGTATTGCCACACTAAAGGATATACAGTAACAGTCCACACAATGTTCAGCATGCTACTGATGCAAACATCTTGACCAGCTAGGATTCTCCCCCCTAACAGGACAGGGATGAGTTATATTGCATGTTGAGTGATATGATTTTACTGCATTGACCTTTCTAGTGCCAACCAACTATAGTAAGGCATCCCTCCTCCACCCACTATCAATACAAATCACACCAATAAGATAAACAGGGAACAAACAGAGAAAACCTCTACCTTTTACACTTTCTAGCAGGTTTCATAGCATACAATATTACATTTGGTACTTTCAGTTTCAAATGGCCTTAGTTGATATTTAAACCTTTTTAAAATACTTTTCGTTATTTGCATCCATTGTAAAACATGAGAATACTTGCAACATGATTTGGATCTGTTTAAACATCTTTTTTAAATCAATGCTGTCATTGTTTTGTTTTCTTCTTCTCGAGCAAGATACAAACAGAATGAATGTAGGATCTGGGGAGAGTGACTGGGGGAGGTTAAGGTGAGAAGACAGGAAGGAGATAGATAGATAGATAGGGCTGGGCAATTTTAGCTCGCCGGTTCCTCGTCTGGTTTGTTCATGGTCTTGAGCTGTTCCAGGAGGGCGGTGGGGGTGAAGACGTGGGTCGATCCTAGAGAGGTGGACAGATACGCAGCAGAGGACACACACAGACAGAGCATGGTATTAGAGCTGCCCAAACCTAAGTTCGCTAGGAAAATGTGTTTTCAGCTCTTGCTATGAATGCTTCGACGAAAGCACCTTATTCTTGAGAAAAAAATGTTGGAAATAAGATAAACATAAGTACAATCAGAAAACTTGAAATCATAGTCAATAGCCAGCATTTAAAGAATGTATTAGTTATCATTATAGGTTATCATACGATGTGTGGGCTATTCACACGTTTTAGAGATCAAAGATGATTGGTGACTTGTGATCTAGTGCCTGCCAAAAATGCACAAAATTGTATGTCACATGCAATTGGATCACTTGTGATTGGACAGTGATGTACTGACATCACAGAGCTGGCTTCTGTGAGCTGCAAATCACTGGTGGTAGGAACCCTGTGACCACACCTATTGGAGGGAGCTGTGAATCAGGTGTAAGCGTGTGCATCTGACCTAAGAAGCTTTTATCGCAGTGCATGCAAACATCAGTCTAATAGCAATATGAAAAATCTGGTAAAGGCCCTGCAAAAAAAGCCTAAATCAGATTTCTGTCCAGCCATTCTCTGATTGGATGACATCAGGGAAGTAATTGTGCCTAAGCTTGTGAATAAAAATGTGAAATGAAAGGCTAAACATAACAGCACCACCAAAATATGAATGAGCTGACTTTTTCATAGCTGAAGACACATTTCGGACACAGTATAACTCAGAAGGTATAGGATTGGAGTAAACCAAACCTTTGTCCATATAGTTTGTCACTAAGTCGTTGAATGTGTCGATGGCTTACCCTCCATCTTGGACAAACCAAGGCTTTCATTCATAAAGCGAACCTCTGGACCAAGATTTTGATTTACTCCTCACACCTACTAAGCAGTTGTATTGGTAGTATTGTTATTCTTCATCTGTTTGTTTCTGAAACAAAGCTGCATGTTTCTGTCATTTTGGCTCACTAAGGAAGACACTTAGGTTTATCTGTGCTAGGTAGAATTCAATTAAAGCTCAGTAAATCTGATTGCTAATGCCAGTTAGGCCTTTCTAGCTGTGACATTGACAGCCAATCAGGAGGGCTGGTTTATCCCATCATCAATAGGCAGAGACAGGAGAGGAAGAGGCGAGTCCATCTTAAGTTGGGTCACCATGGTGATGCATGGTGATGCAGGCATCTTGGGTGTAAGGGAGGGTGGAGTGGGGTGTGGGTGAGCACTAGTCACAGATCAACTTTGGACTGGCGCCTGGTTCTCTACTGTCTCTCAGTGTCTGAAACACACAGCTTTTCAGGGCTCTGGCCAGAAACACAACACAGTGAGCCACATTGCTCCCCAACACCCACTACATGGGTAGGATTATAACTAAATACCAGACAACAGAAACAAACAGTTTTTTTAGTAAATAATCAATGGACATTTTGTTCAGGAAGTGTTGAATGTGGCAGTATGTGGTAAAGCGTCCATACTGCGCATGGTGATTGATACTTACTAAATCAATACCAAAACCCAAAGTTGTTTGAAAAAGATATAGCTTAAGCAGATAAGCAAGAATGAGATGGATGCCCTTTAATGTTGTGTTCAGGGAAACTCACTCAGACGGCAATTTAACAAATTGTGCAGAAAATCACCAACTTACTTGCAATTAGACAAAATCCCCAAATTAGGCAGTGATGCGGTAATTGCTAATATTTGAAAAATATACCTTAACATAACTACACTATGTGCTTTTATAATCCTGTCTCTGTGTACCAAAACCCATATTGGTCTGCTATTGGTCGACCATGCTGTATGGGCCAGATATGGTGTCGCTAAAGGGACAATAAGGAACTATATGGGGAAGAAAGTGAGGGGGAAATGGTGGTCCTCTGTAGCTCAATTGGTAGAGCATGGCGCTTGTAATGCCAGGGTAGTGGGTTCGATCCCTGGGACCACCCATACGTAAAAATGTATGCACGCATGACTGTAAGTCGCTTTGGATAAAAGCGTCTGCTAAATCGCATATTATTATTATTATTATAAATGGTGAAGGTATACGTGTCGCATCTTTTCTAGGTGCTAAAGCATATCGAGTGAACATCGCTACATTCCCAGTGTCAGTGTCTGCAGAGAAGCACTGTTTCCGAGCGAGCAGAAATAGCAGTAGGGAGCTGAAGTTTATTCTTTGACCGAATGGTGTGGAGACTAACATTAGTGTTCTCTGGAGATGACTCCTGGGCCATGTAAGCATGCATGTGATGTCTGGTGGACTCAGAGAGCGTGCGTTGGAGGAGATGTGTAGGAAGTTGAAAGATTGGGAGCAACAAATAAATCTTAAGAAAAAAAAGAAAGCCAACATCAACTCAAGGACCTATCCTGAAAGAAACCATTAAATCAAGGTGATTGTCTTGGATGAGTTAATTACAAAAAAATGATTAGACAGTAATAATAAAGGAATAAAGATGGATCTCGGGGGTAGATTAAATCTGCGCCAAAAAATGATACATTCTGGGAAGCAGGTTATGAAACAGTCTGAGAGTGGCGATTTAATCCACCCAGCTGAGATGATGTGGGGGTGAAGGGGGGGGCGGCAGCAGGGATGGGGTCAGGACGCCTGTAGCATGGCCAGCCCAAACAGGCTTCACGTCCTGAAGGCCCAACAGACAGATACAGCAACACATGCCCATTCTATCTGTCAGCATGACAAGGCCAATCACTATTGGCTGTGAGGGTCACCAATCACACAATATCACACAGTATTACGCTGTGATTGGGTGTTGGCCTGCAGGAGGTGGAGCCTGAGGTGACTGGGCCATGCAGTGAGCCAGGGGCCAGACGGCCATCCCTGAGGGGGGGGGTGAATTTAAAGCAGTACTGAGTGTAGTAAGAGGAGTACGGAGGGAAAGAAAGCCCTTGTGCTGTGGGCGTTCAGAAAGGACTTCTTTGCGCGGCTGCCTTTACTTTGTCAGAGTGTGATTTCTCTCTCCCTCCCTCCCTCTCTCTGTCTGTCTCACTCGTCTGAGCCTGCGTCTGGCTCCTCAAAGGACACCCTAGTGGACTCTCGGAAGTCAGGGTGCTGCAGGTCCGTTAAGAATTTGATGGGGGTGATGGTGTGGGTGGAACCTGTGGAGGAACAGAGGGCGCTTCACGCTCCATTCTCTTCACATGCCACGCCCCCAATGCCACTTTCTCTCTTCTGACACTTTCTCTGCCATCTCGAAAAGAAGGTGATAAACACGCCACTGCACAGCACCACCCACATACTGTGCACACGCACACTCACACACACGCAAACACACGGACATGAAACCCAGACGCACAGAAGAAGACAGGACGTAGCTGCAATTCAAAGACAACAGTGTTTTAGACAGAACAAGACTGAATCCAAAAGCAAAAGCATAGGACAGCAAAAACAACAGACAAGACGCAGTCCCTCCCTTAGGACAAGGACTGGCTGACTAGACAGAAAACAGTCAATAAACAGGGAAAACACGTCACCCAAAAGGGGTTTACACATATCACAGGTGGTATCTTAGAGAAGAACATAACAGATCCTTAAGTAAGTCTAGCATTAACAGAATGAGTGTTGATCGCTTCAACAGGCAAACTAGGGTCATGACATAAGCTTACTTAATGAATCTTTACTGACTGGGATTCATGGTGTGGGTGTATGGGAGTAAGGAAGCTAATTGAGGTGAAATATGTTGGTGTGTGGATGAGTCAGAGTTTTAATGAAGTGCAGTCGGCGCTCAAAAAAGACAAAGATTATCCGGAGACTTCTCTGCTTCGTCCTTCTTCAATCATCTGTGGTCAACATAGTGGGAACAGAATACAGCTGCATTGGCACTGATGATGGCAGACACATTGGCATTTGTGTCCTGCTATGCTGACCACAATGAATGGGGACCAATAACAGAATTAGCCAGTGTACGAGAGTCAGTCAGTTAGAGAAGTACGCCCATTTCCCAATCTACGTCCTATCCCCCATCTCTAGGCACTTTATGTAGATCCTGAAAATAATTGGGTAGGTATAAGCCATTCCACCTAGCCTATCAGAGGAGTTGTTGGACATATTACCTATCCAGACTGTTCAGACCTACAACAAGTGCCCATAGGGAGGAGCTATATGTCCATTCGAAATGAGTCTGCATTCTTGCATAAATTAAAGGCAACTGTGTGTTAATGTACCAGTAAAATCAGTCTATGACTCTAAGTCTATGTAAGTGTATTTTCTCTTTGGACTGTTCTAATGTCACACTCCCTATGGGGTAGTCCCTCCCTACCGCCACTTGTATCCCCCCTCGGCCTGCACCCAGTGGCGCCCCCCGGTGTCAGACTCACCAATGATGGCCTCCCACTTCCCGTTGGCCTGCGTGACCTCGTATGCAGAGCGCATCTCGCTGAAGGATGCGCCTCCGATGATGAAGACCATGACGCGCGGCCCGGTGCGGTACTCGCCTGGGGTCTTATTCTTGTGCCAGTGGCCATACCGGGCACTGCCAGGAACGGAGAAGCACAATCACAAGGGTGGCATATCACAGTGTTACTCTTTTTCACTATTTCACCACTGCTGTACTGAAGAAATAATGTGTCTATCTAACTAGGAAGAGAGGTAGTGGGCAGAGAGATAGGGTCTTTCTCTATGTGGAGACAACTAGCTACATAACATATCAGCAAACCATATCATATGATACAGCAATCTGATGAACCACTGCGTAGTCAATGATGTGACACACAACCATGGGTTGATCAATGTAACGTCTATAATGTAGTCGGTCTGGAATGCGACCAGTGTGTGTAGAACGTGACCAGTGTGTGTGGAATGCGACCAGTGTGTGTGGAATGCGACCAGTGTGTGTGAGCGTGTGTTTTGCTGTGTCATGGCTGTGCAAGGCGTCTAGTGAAATGTGCTCATCTAACCGAGCCTGCCTGTCGATTCTCAGAGCTTCTTTCCCAGTGAGTCAATAACATTGGAGCAGGGGGATGAATGATGGTTGGAAGTGGCTCACATTCTCAGCAGCACAGATCCCATGTCAAATCAATACACACACAATGAAGGTCTAGAGGGGGAAGGGATATGCAGGGGTCAATGTGTCAGCACTCTCTCATCATTCCCCAGTGCACACGCACCCACCACTGTGGTAGTAGTGTGAAGGTTAGATACCTTGACTGTGTCCTAAATGGCACTCTCTTCCTTATATTGTGCACTACTTTTGACCAGAGCCCTCTGTTGCAGTACTGTATGTTTGATTGAATGCACAGCCCTCTGGTTGTCCCTTCTCCGTAACAGAATATTTGTTTGGCCTTTTCTCCTGTTTGTCACTGCTTAGTCCCGCCCTTTCTCTGTTCTACAGCCAATCAGAGTATTAATCTCCCCTCTCCCTCAGAGCCCAAATAACTATTGATCTATGACCCTCCTTGCTTTGTAATCTCGATAGCGCTACTACACTGCAATACATTCCGGTGTGTGGGTATGCGTGTTAGTGTATGTGTGTGTGTGTACCTGACTGCAGTGCTGCTGAAGGAGGCAGAGGAGCGGGTAGAGATGTAGGGGTAGTGCTTGGTGTCCAGCTTATCTTCAATCACATCCTGCAGGGATGACAAGGAGAAAGGCAGAATGAGAGTATGGTCAGCAAATATAATACACATTAAAGACAACTGGGATGGCTTGAAACACACACACACACACACAAATAGGCAGAGACTATGCGTTTGTCCAGTAACTGACCTCCATGATGTCCTTGACCAGTGGTGTCCAGCGGGACAGCTGATAGGTCTGCTCACTCACACGTTCCTTCCTGTCCAGCTTCTTCCCCCTGCGGAGGGTGGACTAGAGGAGGGAGGAGGAGCATGGGGTGAAAAATAACAAAGGGGGACAGTTAAATTACTGCAAGTATCAATCCGATTGAAGTGTTTAATTGAAACCCATATGAAAGGAATAATATGGTAGGAACAGAAGAGAACGAGGGACAGAGAGAGAGAGAGAGAGAGGGTGAGAGAGAGAGAGACAGAGAGAGAGAGAGAGAGAGAGAGAGAGAGAGGGTGAGAGAGAGACAGAGAGACAGAGAGAGAGAGAGAGACAGAGAGAGAGAGAGACAGAGAGTGAGAGAGAGAGAGAGAGAGACAGAGAGAGAGAGAGAGAGAGAGCGAGAGAGAAATAGAAAGTGGGTCAGGTGACAGAGAGAGAAACAGAGAGGGCGAGAGAGATATAGAGAGAGTATGGGCATGAGAGAGAAAGAGAGTTTGTAGCAGGTGTTGAAAAGGTGGCGGTGCATCTGTGTCCTTGACTACAGCTGCAGGGGGGACAGAAGAGGAGGCTGGCCAGACACGAAGTGGCCAACAACAGGAAGTAGGAGTGCTGACTCACGTCTGTGATGATGGGCACACCCAGGTGGGCCATGTTGGTGATGATTTCACTGTCCTCAGGAGGGATCTGGGCGTGCTGGATGAGCTTGTTCAGGTTCTCCTCCGTGATGCCTACCCAATCAGCACACCACAGGTTGTTAAGCTCTTATAGGTTAACTTTAAGCCTAATTTATACCCTATGTATGTACGCAATGTAAGAAAGCAATTAGCTACACAAAATGGCGATCCTGCGTAGTTGGATGAGTTACAAATTGCGTCGCTGCACACTACTGCCATTTTGCACAGCTTGCATTGCGTATGTAAATAGGGTATAAAATAGGCTTTAGGAATAAACTGGGAAAACTGATCCTAGATCAGCTCTTAGAGTTAGGGTTGTGCTTGAGGTTAGGGTTGAACCAAGATGTAGATATGAAGCTAGGGTTAGGGTTGTGGTTGAGGCTAGGGTTAGGGTTGAACTGGGATGTGGACATGAAGCTAGGGTTAGGGTTGTGGTTGAGGCTAGGGTTAGGGTTGAACTGGGATGTGGACATGAAGCTAGGGTTAGAGTTAGGGTTGTGGTTGAGGGTTAGGTTTGAAGCAGGATGTGGATATGAAGCTAGCGTTAGGGTTAAGGTTGTGGTTTAGGGTTAGGGTTGAACTGGGATGTGGACATGAAGCTAGGGTTAGGGTAAATGTTAGGGTTAAAGGTCGAGCGTCTCAGTTTCACCGTTCTTGAGGAAGATGTAGAGGAGGATGATGCGGATCTTGTCGTGGGTGGTGACGTTAGCGTCCAGCAGGATGGGAACAATGGCCCTCATGGGGTCCTTGATCTTCTCCCCCTCAGCGTCTGTACCCATGGCCAGGTCCTACATGCCACACAGACAGGAGATTAGCGATACATCCCAAATAGCACCCTATTCCCTATATAGTGCGCTATACTGTACAAGTATTTAAGTAAGTGGCCTTGCACAAGCCTTGGCTTGTGCGAGTCAGAACGGTAGATGTGTTGGGTTAAATGCAGACGACAAATTTCGGTTGAATGCATTCAGTTGTGCAACTGACTAAGTATCCCCTTTCCCGTTCCCAATAGCGTGCTTCTGTAGCATGAGGCAGCTTGATGTAAAAGTACACCCCCTGGACTGGACGCTAGTCTATCGCAGGGTCGTACCCCCAATCTATCTCCTTAATGCTGAGTGCCAAACAGAGACGCATCGGGTTATAGTGCCCTGGAATGAGCCTCTTCTCTCATCCTCTCTGTCCCTTGCAATGCCTCCTCTCCCCATCCCCTCCCACCTCTTCCCCTCCATCCCTTCCTCCCCTCCTCTCTCCATCCCCTCCCACCTCTTCCCCTCCATCCCTTCCTCCCCTCCTCCCTCCATCCTCTCCTTTACCTGCTCCACACGACACAACTTGTCCACTGTGCCCTGGTAGTGCTTCATGCAGTCCTCAGCCAGCTGCAGGTGAGTGGAGTACTGAGACACACAGTGAGACAGGGTCAGTACACACACACATGTCATGTGCACACACACGCACACAAACACACACTAACACACACACTAACCTTGCTCAGCTCCTTCTGGTACTGGGGCATCTTCTTCAGCATCTGAGAGAGGTCCCTCATGGTGGTCTGTTGGAATACACAACATGGTCACGTTCTCTCTCCACTCAGCCATAGAAACGTACTGACAAAGAGCATTACCAGACAGGGAGGCTTCCTGAAAGCATCCCTCCCTCCATACCTTCTCTCCAGCAGTGTTCATCCTCTTGCTAGCAGAGAAGTCCTTCAGTTGGCGTGTCACCTCCCTGATGGCAGTTAGAGAAGATTGATAGAGATAGCATAAGAGAACTAGTGAGTAGTAGAGCTCGACGTTGTTAGGACTTTATTGAGTCCATATCAACCAGTGGCAGTGATATGGATGAGCGAGTGATTGGCAGAGAGAGAGAGAGAGAGAGAGAGAGAGAGAGAGAGAGAGAGAGAGAGAGAGAGAGAGAGAGAGAGAGAGAGAGAGAGAGAGAGAGAGAGAGAGAGAGAGAGAGAGAGAGAGAGAGAGAGAGAGAGAGAAACGGGTGTTTGACTTACGTGGACACCTCAGCGATATGTTTGTGTCTGAGCCCCACCCACAGGTCATCGTCCTCGTGCAGCAGGACCTCCTTCTGAGAAGTGTCTCCCATCCCAGGGGAATCATATCTGATACAGACAGACAGACAGACAGACAGACAGACAGACAGACAGACAGACAGACAGACAGACAGACAGACAGACAGACAGACAGACAGACAGACAGACAGATAGACAGATAAATGGACAGTCAGACAGATAGACAGGGGGAGAGAAACATAGACGGGGAAATAATTAGACAGGTAGATAGACAGAGACAGGAAGATAGACGGAGACAGGGAGAGAGGCAAAGATTAACTGGGTCCAAACAGGCAAAAGCACTCGTATATATTACAGTAATCAACATTGCATTACATCAGCAGCCAGCAACAACATTATGTGTTACTTTTCTACACTACACTATATAGAAACTCCAGCACATAGAATTTCCAGCACAGCCAAGAATTTCAACACAAGACCAAACAGAATCCAGGCTAAATTGCAAAGCTATTCTTCGAACCTGGCACAGATGCCTGAGCCCTGAATGTGAGTGTGTGTGGGAAAATTACTCTGATCGAAGTCTCTAGCAATCTAAAACACCATAGATGATGACCTTGTAGTGACAGATTCTGTGGCCGCTACAGCTGCCCTACCTGAACTGAATATGTTCTTCTATTTACAGTACTTACACCTAAACCTTAGCAGCTAGCTAGGCCTCAGCCTGTCTCTTTCCTCTGCTGAAGTGAGGGATGTGAATGCAGAGTCACACACACACAGTGGAAGACGCACATCCACACACACGTACCTGTAGACGTCGTTTTCGATGGGCAGCAGGTCGTAGCCCATAGCCTGGAAGGTGAGCTCGTGCAGGACGGGGGAGACGGGGTCAAAAGCCCTGTCCAGGATTATCAGCTGAGAACGAGCCTTATCGGGACCCTGCAGAGAGAGAAGGATAGAGACAAGAAAGGAATGGAGAGGAGAGATGGAGGGGAAGACGGGTAGAGGAGAGAGGTGCAGATTTACTCTGTGTCCTGATAGCTCCTACATCAAATATGTATACAGTAATATAAATATGTTTAATTTATAACACACTTTCATTGAAAGACAATTGCAAAGTGCTACAGTGAGTGCAAGGTGTGATCTTTTGTAGTATGCTGGTTGTTTAAAGTAGCACACGGTAACAGTACATTTCAGTTTAATATCTTCTATGTTCTCATATTTTCACTGCTAAAACATTTCCTTCTACTTCTGTAATCTAATAAACACTCCCCCCTCATCCTTCCCTCCTTCCATCCCTCCCTCACCTCTCCCATGGTGGGGTCATCAGCCTTGTAGGCGTCCAGTTTGTCCTGCAACAGCTGGGCCAGGGTGGCATTGTCTTTGTACTCCCTGAGAGAGAGAGAGTGAGAGAGAGCGAGAGAGAGAGAGAGAGAGAGAGCGAGAGAGAGAGCGAGAGAGACAGAGAGAGAGAGAGAGAGAGAGAGAGACAGAGAGAGAGAGAGAGAGAGAGAGAGAGAGAGAGAGAGAGAGAGAGAGAGAGAGAGAGACAGAGAGAGAGGAGAGAGAGAGAGAGAGACAGAGAGAGAGAGAGAGAGAGAGAGAGAGAGAGAGAGAGAGAGAGATACATATATATATATAGATATATATATGAGAGAGTAGAGAGCATATAGAGAGAGAGAGAGAGAGAGAGAGAGAGAGAGAGAGATGGGATCTAACAATATTTCTATCCCATTTACTGAACATATTTGCCCTGACCCCCCTGTCAATGAGGTTGCATCCCAAATGGTACCCTAGTCCCTATATAGTGTACTACTTAGTGTACTACCTTTGACCCGTTCCCAGTAGTACACTATATAGGGAATGGAGTGCCATTTGGGACACAGTGATATTGCTGTTCCTAATGTCCCCATTATCTGAGATGCGCCCCCTGTGGCTCACCCTCGGTATCTGACAGCGGGGTACTCCTTCAGGGTGGCACACAGGGTGGCAAGCTGGTCTGCCAGCCTCTCCATCACTGGGTTCTTCAGCTGGGTCTTATGGGGGCTGTAGAAACTTTGGAAGGCATCCGGGTTGTCCAGAGAGTACACCTGCACACACATTTCATGAATCAAATGTTATTTGTAAGCAGAGCTAACAGTGACAAATAAAATCCCCCCTACACAGAAGGAAGAAACCTTGAGAGGACCCAGTTATATGAGAGAGATCCCACAGTATATATGTTCGGTTATACTTTAACTGTACATAATACCCATGTGGCTCAGTAGGTAGAGCATGGCACTTGCAACACCAGGGTCGTGGGTTTGATTCCCACGGGGGACCAGTATGAAAATGTATGCACTCACTACTGTAAGTCGCTCTGGATAAGAGTGTCTACTAAAATGTAATCATACAGCATACATAACACATATGTAAGCATATCATAAACATGACATTATAGCTATATTTGGTTCAAAATTCTGGGGTAAGGCACATGCTCTCTGGATGGTGATAATGAACTGAAGGACACACGGCAGTGTGCACCCTATATTCTATAAGTAATAATTCAATAGCAACAGAGCATAGCTCTGGGCACACTAGCATAGTATGTTCTATCTAGGTTTCCTGTTTTGCACTGGTTGGTTGTTTCTGAGGGCAAACTGGTTGGTTGTTTCTGAGGGCAAACTCAGGCCTCCTGGCTGCTGTATGTGTGTATGATATGCAGAGTGACAGTGACGTGACAGTTGCCTTTCCTTCCTGTATGTGTGTATGATATGCAGAATGACAGTGACGTGACAGTGGCCTTTCCTTCCTGTATGTGTGTATGATATGCAGAGTGACAGTGCCGTGACTGTGACCTTTCCGTCCTGTATGTGTGTATGATATGCAGAGTGACAGTGCCGTGACTGTGGCCTTTCCTTCCTGTATGTGTGTATGATATGCAGAGTGACAGTGCCGTGACTGTGGCCTTTCCTTCCTGTATGTGTGTATGATATGCAGAGTGACAGTGCCGTGACTGTGCCCTTTCCTTCCTGTATGTGTGTAGGATATGCAGTGTGACAGTGGCGTGACTGTGGCCTTTCCTTACAAAGCCTTATGTTTGGAGCAAATCCAACGCAACAAATCACTGAGTACCACTCTTCATATTTTCAAGCATGGTGGTGGCTGCATCATGTTATGGGTATGCTAGTCATCGGCAAGGGTATTTTTTATATAAAAAGAAACGGAATGCACAGGCAAAATCCTAGAGGAAAACCTGGTTCAGTCTGCTTTCAGACACTGGGAGACAAATAGATACTGGGAGAGTTGCTTACCAAGACGACGTTGAATGTTCCTGAGTGGCCTGAAAATCTATGGTAAGACTTGAACATTTCTAAAACATGTTTTCACTTTGTCATTATGGGGGTCATTATGGGGTATTGTGTGTAGATAGATGGGTGAGAATTATTTTTTTTTCATAAATGTTGAATTCAGGCTGTAACACAGCAAAATGTGGAATAAGTCAAGGGATACTTATTATACTTGATGAGGGCACTGTAGGTACCTGGGTGGATGGGTTTGTCTTTCTCTCCTCTGCCTCCCTCCCTTTTTCTTTGTATCCCTATGTCCTTTCCTTGCTCTCTCTCCATATATTTATATCTCTGATTCTCTATATCGCTGACATCCCTCCATCCCTATTTCTGTATGTCTCCTCTTCTATCCGACCCTCTCTCCTCACCTTCAGCATTTCACAATTTCTCTCCCCATCCTACCATTCTCCATCTCAATCGATTTCAAAAAAATGTATTTGTTACATACACAGTTTACAAAAGATATAAAAGGTGCAGTGAAATACTTACGTGCTAGCTCAGCTCCCTCAACATTGCAGTACAATAATCAATATCAATAATAACAAGCAGCATAAAATAACAGGTAGTTAGTAGAAGGTAATATGCATAGTAGTAGTAAACTGATATGTACATAACTCTCTGGCTATTCTAGGATTCCTCTATCGCTGGATCTTTCCCTCTGGCTCTTCCTGGATCGCTCAATCTCCCTCCATCTCTATATCTCCCTGCCTCCCTCCCACTGTTTCTCTCCCTCCCTCCGTTTGGTACCTGTGATTCATAGGGCAGGAAGGCGATGTTGATCTCAGTCAGGGTCTTGATGGATTTGGAGGCGCGGCTCTTCACTACCTCGTTGAACAGTGGGTCTGGGCAGGCTGAAACATGGAGAGGTTGATGTGAGTGTGAGTGGTGGCTCAGTTGGTAGAGCATGCATGGCACTTACAACATCAGGATTGTGGGTTCAATTCCTGCTGGGGCCACACATACAGTGAGGGGAAAAAGTATTTGATCCCCTGCTGATTTTGTACGTTTGCCCACTGACAAAGAAATGATCAGTCTATCATTTTAATGGTAGGTTTATTTGAACAGTGAGAGACAGAATAACAACAACAAAATCCAGAAAAACGCATGTCAAAAATGTTATAAATTGATTAGCATTTTAATGAGGGAAATAAGTATTTGACCCCCTCTCAATCAGAAAGATTTCTGGCTCCCAGGTGTCTTTTATACAGGTAATGAGTTGAGATTAGGAGCACAATCTTAAAGGGAGTGCTCCTAATCTCAGTTTGTTACCTGTATAAAAGACACCTGTCCACAGAAGCAATCAATCAATCAGATTCCAAACTCTCCACCATGGCCAAGACCAAAGAGCTCTCCAAGGTTGTCAGGGACAAGATTGTAGACCTACACAAGGCTGGAATGGGCTACAAGACCATCGCCAAGCAGCTTGGTGAGACGGTGACAACAGTTGGTGTGATTATTCGCAAATGGAAGAAACACAAAATAAATGTCAATCTCCCTCGGCCTGGGGCTCCATGCAAGATCTCACCTCGTGGAGTTGCAATGATCACGAGAATGGTGAGGAATCAGCCCAGAACTACACGGGAGGATCTTGTCAATGATCTCAAGGCAGCTGGGACCATAGTCACCAAGAAAACAATTGGTAACACACTACGCCGTGAAGGACTGAAATCCTGCAGCGCCCGCAAGGTCCCCCTGCTCAAGAAAGCACATATACAGGCCCGTCTGAAGTTTGCCAATGAACATCTGAATGATTCAGAGGAGAACTGGGTGAAAGTGTTGTGGTCAGATGAGACCAAAATCGAGCTCTTTGGCATCAACTCAACTCGCCGTATTTGGAGGAGGAGGAATGCTGCCTATGACCCCAAGAACACCACTTCCACCGTCAAACATGGAGGTGGAAACATTATGCTTTGGGGGTGTTTTTCTGCTAAGGGGACAGGACAACTTCACCGCATCAAAGGGACAATGGACGGGGCCATGTACCGTCAAACCTTGGGTGAGAACCTCCTTCCCTCAGCCAGGGCTTTGAAAATGGGTCGTGGATGGGTATTCCAGCATGACAATGACCCAAAACACACAGCCAAGGCCACAAAGGAGTGGCTCAAGAAGAAGAACATTAAGGTCCTGGAGTGGCCTAGCCAGTCTCCAGACCTTAATCCCATAGATAATCTGTGGAGGGAGCTGAAGGTTCGAGTTGCCAAACGTCAGCCTCGAAACCTTAATGACTTGGAGAAGATCTGCAAAGAGGAGTGGGACAAAATCTCTCCTGAGATGTGTGCAAACCTGGTGGCCAACTAAAAGAAATGTCTGACCTCTGTGATTGCCAACAAGGGTTTTGCCACCAAGTACTAAGTCATGTTTTGCAGAGGGGTCAAATACTTATTTCCCTCATTAAAATGCAAATCAATTTATAACATTTTTCTGGACTTTTTTGTTGTTATTCTGTCTCTCACTGTTCAAATAAACCTACCATTAAAATTATAGATTGATCATGTCTTTGTCAGTGGGCAAATGTACAAAATCAGCAGGGGATCAAATACTTGTTTCCCTCACTGTATGACAATATATGCACACACTACCGTAAGATGCTTCGGATAAAAGCATATTAAAAGATGGGCCGGTATATTAATAACCCTTGTTTCAAAGGATGATGATGCTGAAAACTCTGAGCTCTATTTTGGGTGTCTAGATCAACTCTGGTTTTGTAATAAAAAAAGTGTTTTCTTTTGTTGCACATTATTCCTTCCATGAAGCCCTTTTACCAACATCACAGCCCTCTCCACTAAGAATGAATGGCTGAGGTCGCATTAATGTCCATTGAGCTGTGTAGTGAATCCGCACAGCACTTGAGGTGTAGAGGAAAGGCTCCTCAGGGAGCAACTCACAGTCAGTGAAGAAGACGTGGGCTGCTTTGTATTTGGCTGAATGGGGGTCTTTGAAGTCTCCAATTAGGGTCTGCACAGACTGGAGAGAGAAGGACACAAGTAAAATGTGTGTGTGTGTGTGTGTGGATGTGTTTAACTATTATTGTGGGGACCAGAACACAAGAATAGTAAACGAACAACATTTTGACTACAGGGGCCTCCCGAGTGGCGCAGCGGTCTAAGGCACTGCTTCGCAATGCTTGAGGTGTCATTACAGACCCCGGTTTGATCCCAGGCTACAGTACCAGTCAAGTGTGCCTTGAATTCTAAATAAATCACAGACAGTGTCACCAGCAAAGCACCCCCACACCATCACACCTCCTCCTCCATGCTTCACGGTGGGAACCACACATGCGGAGATCATCCGTTCACCTACTCTGCGTCTCACAAAGACACAACGGTTGGAACCAAAAATCTCCAATTTGGATTCATCAGACCAAAGGACAGATTTCCACTGGTCTAATGTCCATTGCTCGTGTTTCTTGGCCCAAACAAGTCTCTTTTTATTATTGGTGTCCTTTAGTAGTGGTTTCTTTGCAACAATTTGAACATGAAGGCCTGATTCATGCAGTTTCCTCTGAACAGTTGAGATGTGTCTGTTACTTGAACTCTGTGAAGCATTTATTTGGGCTGCAATCTGAGGTGCAGTTAACTCTAATGAATTTATCCTCTGCAGCAGAGGTACCTCTGGGTCTTCCTTTCTTGTGGCGGTCCTCATGAGAGCCAGTTTCATCATAGCGCTTGATGGTTTTTGCGACTGCAAATGAAGAAACGTTCAAAGTTCTTGAAATCTTCCAGATTTATTGACCTTCATGTCTTAAAGTAATGATGGACTGTCGTTTCTCTTTGCTTATTTGAGCTGTTCTTGCCATAATATGGACTTGGTCTTTTACTAAATAGGGCTATCTTCTGTATACCCCCCTACCTTGTCACAACACAACTGATTGGCTCAAACGCATTAAGAAGGAAGGAAATTCCACAAATTAACTTCTAACAAGGCACACCTGTTAATTGAAATGCATTCCTGGTGACTACCTCATGAAGCTGGTACTTTTGACTGGTACTGTATGTCGCAGCCGGCCGCAACCGTGAGACCCATGAGGCGGCGCACAATTGGCCCAGCATCGTCCAGGTTAGAGGAGGGTTTGGCCGGCCGGGATGTCCTTGTCCCATCGCGCTCTAGCGACTCCTTGTGGCGGGCCAGGCGCATGTGCGCTGACTTCGGACGCCAGTTGTACGGTGTTTCCTCCGACACATTGGTGCGGCTGGCTTCCGGGTTAAGTGAGCAGTGTGTCAAGAAGCAGTGTGGGTCATGTTTCGGAGGACGCATGGCTCTCGACCTTCGACTCTCCCGAGTCCGTACGGGAGTTCCAGCGATGGGACAAGACTGTAACTGCCAATTGGATATCACGAATTTGGGGAGAAAAAGGGTTTAAAAAAAAAAAAAAAAATATATATATATATATATATATATATATATAAAACTGGGGACATTTTGTTAGTCCCCACGAGGTCAAATGCTATTTCTAGGGGGTTTATGGTTAAGGTTAGAATTAGTGTTAGGGTTAGAATCACGTTAAGGATTAGGGTTAGGAGCTAGGGTTAGTTTTAGGGTTAGGGTTAGGAGCTAAGGTTAGCTTTAGGGTTAAGGTTAAGGTTAGGTTTTTGGGTTAAGGTTAGGGTTAGGGTTAGGGTTAGGGTTAGGGTCAGAGTACAGGTTAGGGTTAGGGAAAATAGGATTTTGAATGGGACTGAATTTTGTGTCCCCACAAGGTTAGCTGTACAAGACTGTGTGTGTGTGTGTGTGTGTGTGTGTGTGTGTGTGTGTTGTGTGTGTGTGTGTGTGTGTGTGTGTGTGTGTGTGTGTGTGTGTGTGTGTGTGTGTATGTATGTGTGTGTACATGTTTTACTATACTTGTGAGTACCATTCTTGGTTTACACAAGACATTTTGCCAGTCCTCACTTGTAAAAAGGCTATTTTAGGCTTAGGGGTTAGGTTTAGGGTTAGGGTTACAAGTAGGGTTAGTGGTTAGGTTTAGGGTTAGGGTTAAAGGTTAGGATTAGGATTAGGGTAAGGGAAAATATAATTTTAAATGGTAATCAATTGTTGGTCCCCAAAACGTCCTCACAAGTATAATAAGATATAGGTGTGTGTGTGTGTGTGTGTGTGTGTGTGTGTGTGTGTGTGTGTCAGCATGTGTCTGTCAGCGTGTGCCTGCATGTACTGTATGTGTTTGAATAAGGAGGGGAGAAGTGGAGAGTAAAGCTGGTAGAAGGAAGGTAGGAAGGTATAGTCCAGTCAGCTAGAGATCCTGTCCACAGACACACAGGAGTATTGTGTGGTTTGCGTAGGCTGAGTCAACAACCCTGGGTTTGAGTACCATCTTATACAGAACGGTGGGCATATGGTCTCTGTGTACAGTGAGTACAGAAAGCTGCCAGAGACAGTGTTCTAAATATAGACTGTGAGAGGGAGATGCTGGTGTGTGTGTGTGGGGGGGGGGGTGTGTGTGTGTTTGTTTGCTGTGCTACCTTGTCAGTGAGGGTAATCAGAGACAGGTAAATATGACTGTGAAATGTGTGGTGTGTGTGTTGGGTGTGGTGTGTGTGTTTGTACCTCAGGCTGGTTCTGGAAGGGTAAGAAGAGGCTATCGCGCATGTTTACTACACGAGAGAGAGCGAGAGAGAGAGAGATAGAGAGAGAGAGAGAGAAAGAGAGAGAGAGAGAAGATGAGAGAGAGAGAATCGAGAGATTTAGAGAGAGAGGAAGGAGAGAGAGAGAGAGAGAGAGAGAGAGAGAGAGAGAGAGAGAGAGAGAGAGAGAGAGGAGAGAGAGAGAGAGAGATGAGAGGAGAGAGAGAGAGAGAGAGAGAGAGAGAGAGAGAGAGAGAGAGAGAGATGTGGTTATATCATGTTTGCTGATGGCTGAGTCATGGTAGCCAAATGGTAGCTACAGTGCCTATGTAACAAGTGTTGAATTACACAAAACCTGAATAGTTCCCATGCCTGATATTAGTGAACATTCGTTTTGTTGTTGTAAGTGGCCCTTTTAATGTCGCACACTTCCTTCTCCTTCTGTATTCCCCCTCATAAACATCCCCTGACCCCTCCGACCTCTTCCCTTTCTACTGTACCCATATGGAAGAGGTAGGTTACTGAAACATTTCCCCATGAAATCATAATCAATCCTATATGTTAAAACACTTATAATGAGTTTATATGCTCACTTACAGTGTATTATAATGGTCTCCCACAAATATATTGGGATATTCATGTATTAGGGCAGCACAGCATTTGTTCATGGACGTTTTTCCTGTCATTATCAGAGAATAAAAGATCTACACCAACCCTGATCCTTTGGTCATATGTAAGCCAATCAAAACACAATGCAGAGGCAATCTACACCTGTCACACATACAGTATAACAATGGAGGCTGATGACACGTGGTCCTCTGTAGCTCAATTGGTAGAACATGGTGCTTGTAACGCCAGGGTAGTGGGTTCGATCCCCGGGACCACCCATATGTAAAAATGTATGCACACATGACTGTAAGTCGCTTTGGATAAAAGCGTCTGCTAAATGGCATATTATTATTATTATATGATGAGGTTTAAACAGAGCAGAGTGCTTACTGGTGATGCCCTCTGACATGATGTCTGTCATCTTGCAGCAGGAGGATAGCATCCTCATGCTCAGCTGGTCCACAATCAACGCCTGAGACAAGGAAGAGAAAACAATGTGAAACCATGGAGACTGAGATAGAGGAAGGAGTAAGACAGAGGTTTTGGAAAACAAGGTTAGGACTCTCTAATCATATTAAAATGTTTCATTGGTAGCACTGGTGCAGTGCACCCAACTTAAAAATGTCCAGAAAAAGAGATTGATTTCAATTAATTTAGATAGCCTACCTTAGGCCTATATGACTACTTTTGAAGTAGCTATCCAGGACCCCCTTTCTTCTAGTGCCATCTTAAACCATACTGGTCAAGTTACCAGGTTGGCCAGCTAGGTAACATGACTGGATAGTTTGTGGCCTGAGTAGTTTAAAACGGCCTGCAACATGGTTTATGAAAATATAAAAGGTGACCCGCGAATCCGTGACAGAAAAGAAATGTAGCTCCTGTAACAATAAATCCACATCAGCCAATTAAAATCGTCAAAGTAGTTCCACGTTATAAAACGCTACATGTTAGCTGTTCCCATTAGATAACCTGGCATATTTAGCCCTATTATAACCTGACCAGCTGGCAGTGATTATTTCCTGTAACAAATTCTGCATCAGCCTATCAAATGCACTACATGCAAAAGTATGTGGACACCTGCTCATCGAACATCTCATTCCAAAATGATGGGCATTAATATGGAGTTGCTGCTATAACAGCCTCCAGTCTTCTGGGAAGACTTTCCACTAGATGTTGGAACATTGCTGCGGGGACTTGCTTCCATTCAGCCACAAGAGCATTAGTGAAGTCGGGCACTGATGTTGGGTGATTAGGCCTGGCTCGCAGTCGGCATTCCAGTTCATCCATGAAACAGGAAAGGGCCTTCCCCAAACTGTTGCCACAAAGTTGCAAGCACAGAATCGTCTAGAATGTCATTGTATGCTGTAGCGTTAAGATTTCCCTTCACTGGAACTAATGGGCCTAGCCTGAACCATGAAAAACAGCCCCAGACCATTATTCCTCCTCCACCAAACTTTACAGTTGGCACTATGCATTCGGACAGCTAGCGTTCTCCTGGCATCCGCCAAACCCAGATTAGTCCGTCGGACTGCCAGATGGTGAAGCGTGATTCATCACTCCAGAGAACACGTTTCCACTGCTTCAGAGTCCAATGGCGGCGAGCTTTACACCACTCCAACCGACGCTTGGCATTGCGCATGGTGATCTTAGGCTTGTGTACGGCTGCTCGGCCATGGAAACCCATTTCATGAAGCTCCCGACTAACAGTTCTTCTGCTGATATTACTTCCAGAGGCAGTTTGGAACTCGGTAGTGATTGTTGCAACCGAGGACAGACGATTTTTACGCACTACGCGCTTCAGCACTCGACGGTCCCGTTCTGTGAGCTTGTGTGGCCTACCATTTCGCGGCTGAGCCGTTGTTGCTCATAGACATTTCCACTTCATAATAACAGCACTTACAGTTGACCGGGGCAGCTCTAGCAGGGCAGAAATTTGACAAACTGACTTTTTGGAAAGGTGGCATCCTATGACGGTGCCACGTTGAAAGCCACTGAGCTCTTCAGTACGGGCCATTCTACTGCCAATGTTTGTCTATGTCCATGGCTGTGTGCTCGGTTTTATACACCTGTCAGCAATGGGTGTGGCTGAAATAGCCGAATCCACCAATACTTTTGGCCATGTAGTGTATCTTAGAATTTATATCCATCAACCAATGGCATTTCTTAAAATAGGTCAACTTGACCACCAGAGGGATATTTTAAACCTCAAAATTCAAGGTTTACTTTGGTTCCACTTAGTCTGTCACAAGTGTAGTGTGCCAAAACGGCATGATGACTAGGCTACTAGCTACTAACGTTATTATAAATTATAAATATTTGTGTGTAAATCAAATCCAATTTTATTGGTCACATGCACATGTTCAGCAGATGTTATTGCGGGTGTAATGAAAAGCTTGTGTTTCTAGCTGCAGTAATATCTAACAAGTAACATCTAACAATTTCACAACAATACTGTCACGCCCTGGCTCTGGGGACTCTTAAATGTTGAGCCAGGGTGTGGATTTTCTATGTTTAGTTTTCTATGTTTTTGTTCTAGATCGTGTTGATCTATGTTGGCCAGGGTGGTTCCCAATCAGAGACAGCTGTAGCTCGTTGTCTCTGATTGGGGACCATACTTAGGCAGCCTGTTGGCACCAGTTAGTTGGTGGGATCTTGTTCCGTAAAGGTTTGTGTTGTGTAACCTCAGGACTTCACGTATCGTTTTGTTGTTTTGTTCGTGTGTTGTGTACGAAATAAAATGTACGCTTATCACGCTGCGCCTTGGTCCGTCTCTTCCTGTAACGATCGTGACAGAAGATCCCACCAAAAAAGGACCAAGCAGCGTGTCCAGGAACAGACAGCCTGGACTTGCGAGGAGATCCTGGACGGGAAGGGATCCTGGACTTGGGAAGAGATTCAGGCCGGAATGGATCGCCGTCCTTGGGAGGAGACTGTGGAGGCGCGCTACAGAGAGGAGCAGCGGCATCGCAGAGGGTACCGGCCGAGGAGGAAGCCCGAGAGACAGCCCCAAAAGGGTGGTTGGCAGAGCCTAGAGTTAGAGCAGAGCCAACTCCCCGTACTCAGGCTAGGAAGCGTGAGACTGGGCAGGCTCCGTGTTATGCGGAGCCACGTACTGTGCCGCGAGTGTTCCGGCACAGTCCTGTACGTCCGGTGCTAGCACCACGCACGTGTCATGCTAAGATGGGCATGCAGCCAGGACGGGGTGTGCCGGCTCAACGCTCGTGGCCTCCAGTACGCCTCCTCGGTCCCGTATGTCCTGCGCCAGTGCCACGTGCTGTAGCGCCAGTACGAGTGCACAGCCCTGTACGTCCTGTGCTGATGCCTCACACATATTGTGTGGAAATAGGCATTCAGCCAGGACGGGTTGTGTCAGCTCTCCGCTCCAGACCTCCAGTCCGCCTCCACAGTCCGGCCCGGCCCGTTCCGGCTCCCCGCACCAAGCCAGTGGTGCGTGTTCCCAGTCCAGCCCGGCCTGTTCCTTCTCCCCGCACCAAGCCAGTGGTGTGTGTTCCCAGTCCAGCCCGGCCTGTTCCTGCTCCCCGCACCAAGGCAGTGGTGCGTGTTCCCAGTCCAGCCTGGCCTGTTCCTGTCCCTCGCACCAAGCCAGTGGTGCGCGTCGCCAGCCCGGTCCGGCCTGTTTCTGTCCCTCGCACCAAGCCAGTGGTGCACGTCGCCAGCCCGGTCCGGCCTGTTCCTGTCCCTCGCACCAAGCAAGTGGTGCGCGTCGCCAGCCCGGTCCGGCCTGTTCCTGTCCCTCGCACCAAGCCAGTGGTGCGCGTCGCCAGCCCGGTCTGTTCCTGTCCCTCGCAACAAGCCAGTGGTGCGCGTCGCCAGCCCGGTCCGGCCTGTTCCTGTCCCTCGCACCAAGCCAGTGGTGCGCGTCGCCAGCCCGGTCCGGCCTGTTCCTGCTCCCCGCACCAAGCCAGTGGTGCGCGTCGCCAGCCCGGTCCGGCCTGTTCCTGCTCCCCGCACCAAGCCAGTGGTGCGCGTCGCCAGCCCGGTCCGGCCTGTTCCTGCTCCCCGCACCAAGCCAGTGGTGCGCGTCGCCAGCCCGGTCCGGCCTGTTCCTGCCCCTCGCACCAAGCCAGTGGTGCACGTCGCCAGCCCGGTCCGGCCCGTTCCTGCTCCCCGCACCAAGCCAGTGGTGCGCGTCGTCAGCCCGGTCCGGCCCGTTCCTGCTCCCCGCGCCAAGCCAGTGGTGCGTGTGTCCAGTCCGGCACGGCCCGTGCCTGTTCCACCGGTGCCTGGTCCAGCACCGGTCATCTGCTCCACTCCGGAGTCAGAGCAATCCGCTCCACCGGGGTCCGGTCCAACTCCAGTAAGCGGATCCACTCCGGAGCCAGAGCAATCCGCTCCACCGGTGTCCAGTCCAGCTCCGGCCAGCGGCTCCAGTCCGGAGCCGGTAAGGTTTGGTCCACCGTCGTCGGGTCCAGCTCCAGTCAGCGGGACCAGACCAGGGGCGCAACGGGGAGGTGGAGAAAGGGTGGTGGTCACGCCCGGAGCCGGATCCGCCTCCGAGGCGGAATGCCCACCCGGCCCCTACCCTCTTGTGTTTGTGTGGCGCGGTCGCAGTCCGCGCCTTTGGGGGGGGGCGGTACTGTCACGCCCTGGCTCTGGGGACTCTTAAATGTTGAGCCAGGGTGTGGATTTTCTATGTTTAGTTTTCTATGTTTTTGTTCTAGATCGTGTTGATCTATGTTGGCCAGGGTGGTTCCCAATCAGAGACAGCTGTAGCTCATTGTCTATGATTGGGGACCATACTTAGGCAGCCTGTTGGCACCAGTTAGTTGGTGGGATCTTGTTCCGTAAAGGTTTGTGTTGTGTAACCTCAGGACTTCACGTATCGTTTTGTTGTTTTGTTCGTGTGTTGTGTACGAAATAAAATGTACGCTTATCACGCTGCGCCTTGGTCCGTCTCTTCCTGTAACGATCGTGACAAATACACACAATACTCACAAATCTAAAGTAAAGAAATGGAATTAAGAATATATAAATATTTGGACGAGCAATGTCAGAGCGGCATAGACTAAGATACAGTAGAATAGTATAGAATACAGTATATACAGTTGAGATGAGTAATGCAAAATATGTAAACATTATTAAAGTGACTAGTGTTCCATTATTAAAGCGGCCAGTGATTTCAAGTCTATGTATACAGGGCAGCAGCCTCTAAGGTGCTAGTGATGTCTCTGACGTCTATGTTAATGTTTTTAAATGTATGTCAATTGTAAAATATTTTTGTCTGTAATGTCTGTTTTGTTATGTGTCAGACCCCAGGAAGACTAGCTGTCGCCATTGGCGTCGGCTAATGGGGATCCTAGTAATAATTTTAAAACGTTAGACAAAATTCAAAAGGCACATTTTCGCATATATGACAAAATCCCACGTTTTTGCTGATCTGTTTCACACACATCCATGTGCTTTTACGGGAAAAAGACAAAGGAGGTCTATACATAATTGAAGTTTATTGTACATAAGTCGAAGAGCCTTATGGTCTTGTCAAATAGCTGTCATGTACCCCTACTACCATTGCTGCCAGGTGGTGTATACCACTATGGCGGTTGACTGTGAATGTTCGGGGTACAGTAACACTGGGTTGGAGATCCCTTCGCATCAAGCTATTTTATTAAGGAAAAAACTGTTCACTCCTGGTCCTCTATGCTGAATTTAAATAATGCATACGTAAGTGGAGGATTATAATAATGCATATAAAATGTTATATATGTGAGTGTAGCCTAAATAAAAAATTAAGTGGTGTTTTTGGTCTAACAGTAACGTTATACTATTACACTATGCTATTATATTCGGTATGTTAAGCCTATGTAGAATACTAATGAATCATTAAAATATCTTGTGAGACATTGATTCAGCTTTGATCGAAACTTTATTAAACGAGCACCATTCTGAAAAGTGGCGGAGCATCGCTCTGGTGCGCTCCGGCAGCACTACACTACCCCTATGTAGCAGTAGTGTGTCGGTCTGCAAAAGGGACTCCAAGAAGCTCCTCATTAAATATATGTATACTGTTTCAAGAAGCTAGGCATATGTTGCATGTCACTACTTCATAGGTGAGGCATTTTAATGTTTTTTTATTATACTTTTTTTATCAAAATATGTTTTTTTGGGCAGAAATGCCATCTGGAACATGTGAACTTTCATGTGCGTTAATAACAAACTTGTATGCCATCTGTAAATACAAATAAAATGGTTAAATTACGAGCCTAGTTTGTTTAGCCACGGTAAAATACAGGAACCTTCCCGCTAGCCATGATTGGCTGAGATAATGGATGGGCTGGACATGCCGAGAGATGAGTTCAGACTTGTTCTGCCATGCTTCTGTTTATAACATGAGCTGCTCAGTATGTGTGGATAATCCTTTCTACCACAGCTTTTTTTGAAAGATGTCATGAAGAACTGAAAAAGTGTTGCATTGCTGCCCTGAACTTAATAGCGCTATTGAAAAAGGTCAGTGGGAAAAAGTTGTGATGGACTACTTTCTGGAGGATGATCGTGCCATGCTGACTCTCTCTGACTCTGAAAATGAATCAGACGATGAGGAAATCCCTGATTTAGGTCAAAACATTTTAATTGAACCAGACATTGTAGAGTCTTCCCTCATCACTGTCCTCAGAAGAAACGGCGATCAACAGTGTTGTTGTCGCGGAAGAAGTTGACCGAGTTTTGAAATCAGTGGAATGCTCAGTGGAAGCAGAGAGATGATTCCTAAATGCGGAGAGGCTATACACAGGAGGCTGTTGTATAAAACACCTGTCTCCAGATTACATCTTCAAACTAAGGGCAACCATGGCATCCATAACAGAGTGAGAAGCGTTCATCCATGTTTACGGTTAATTGTCTAGCTACATTTTCAGATATTATACATTTCAAATTTTGTCAGAACGTCATTTTCATTGCAAGTTAAAGCATACTGTTAGCTAGCTAGCTAGCTAACGTTAGCTGGCTGGCTCGCTAGCTAACGTTATGTAAATGATCTGTGTAGTAATATTGTTAGTATCTCAGAAAGCCATTTGCATTGCTAGTTATAGCCTAATGTTAGCTAGCTAGCTAACATTGAACCTAGTTGGTTTGCTTTAGCTACCTGCAGATTCATGCATGGCGCATGCATGGTATTATGGTTCATTGGATTATGGTTCATTGTTTAGCTACATGTCTAAACAAAAGACTCCATTATGCAAGTAACCATTTCACTGTACCATTTACACCTCCTGTATCCTGTGTATGTGACAAATAAACGTATAGTATGTGTTTACCAGAGACGGTAATGTGAAGAACAACATGACCTGCACCAAAGTCAGATTAGGATATAGCCCAATGACTAGATCAAGTGTATTTTTCCTACTACTGTTTGCTACTACTTTCACCACTTTTAGTCTTGAAATCTTTGGTTGTTTACTACACTGCCACATTCACTCTGTTTAGCACATGGCCTCACATGTGAATCCTTAAAGAGATGGGTGGGGCTAAGGCTTAAGAGGGTTTAGACAAAGAAGAGGTGTACCAAAACATTCACGGGCCATTTTCTCAAAAGTGGGGTTACAAGTTTATCAACTTCAAAGCAGAATTACTTTCCCATTGATCCTCAATGCTACATAGGACCGAATCCAGGTGATGGGTCACATATTTGTAATCTTGCTGCACATCCCTTCGCAACACAGTATCACAATAAATGTAATTCTACATTTCAAAGGAAAAAACGATATCTCACCTGGGATTTGAAG